ATTGATTCCTAAGTATTTCATTTTTTAGATGCTATTATGAAAGGTGTGGTTTCCCTAATTTCTCTCTCAGTCTGTTTGTTATTTGTGTATAGGAATGGTATTGATTTTTGACTGCTGACTTTGTATCCAGCTATGCTACTGAATTTGGTTATCAGATCTATAAGCCTTTTGGTGGAGTTTTTGGGGTCTTTTATGTAGAATATCATGTCACCTGCAGATAATGATAATTTCACTTTCCTTTCCTATCCTTATTCCTTTTGTTTACTGTCTTGTCTAATTGCTCTGGCCAGTATTTCCAAAACTATATTGAATAGGAGCAGTGACAGTGGACACAGGTAGTTTTTCTGTTGTCCGCTTAGGCAATAAAGACAAGAAATAGTTTGTAAATGTTTGGTACGGATGCGATTTATTTTTCCTAGGGTTTCCACCTGAGGTTGGTTGAACCCACCCATGTAGAACCCAGGATATGCAGTGACAACTGTTATTGCATTTAGTTTTTGCCCCTATCCTTACACCACAGTGGAAGCTCCATGAGGATAGGAACATCGTTTTCTTCACTGTCTGTCTCTGTAGCATCTGCAACATACTAAACTGTAAACTCGGGACTCAATGGTCCCAGATGATATGCTCCAGTTTGAAGAAGATCTGTGCTAATCTGAGGGAATTTCTTACATGATTCCTCTACTCTGTTTTAGCAGTTCATTCAGGCTCCTTTTCTATATTTTGAAGTCAAATCTCTATAAACTAAAAAAGTTGCTGTGATGAGCCATTCACATTCAAAATCAGTACATACTTGTTGAATAAAGGATGAATGGAAGATCTCCTAGCTCCCAGTCTTTTATTTTTTCTATTGGACACAACTAAGCAAAATATAGCTCAAAATAGATGACTGAACTCTACCACTTTTAAATGGGGAGCAAGTATACTCAATACAGTAACAATTTATTTCCACTCCTCCACATTACCTAGCAGTAAATATTTTAGCAATTTAAAGACCCATGTCCAATTTTCCTGAATGTCCAATAGATTCAAAAGTAGAGAGTTTAAAAGAAGGAAGGAGAAGGAGGAGGACTTTTGTAATATATCAAGATAGAATGCTCGTCATTAAAGCATAAACTAAACAAATACTGTAAGTAAATTTGGGACTCAATAGTCTCAGACAACATGCTCTAGCTTGAAGATCTATGCTAATCTGAGGGAATTCCTTACATGGTTACTCTGTTTTAGCAAGTGCTTCAGGCTCCTTTTCTATATTTTGAAGTCAAATCTCTTAAACTAAAAAAAATCCTGTGATTACTTATTGAAACCTTAGAAAATTTTACAAGGATAGCTAGGGTGAAATCGTGCTGTTTTGGGTTACTGGTAAACAAATTTATTAAGTTTTGTAATAGCCAAGTGAACCAATAAAAAAAATGTACAAAGAGCTGACTGGGAAAATACTATCACTCTAACAGGAGAATATCAGTGCAGAGGTAAATACTCTGGTTAATGTGATGATAGAGACCTTTGAATTACAGAGAAACACATTAAATTAAAACCAGCCTGCAAAAGTTGTTAGGAGTTTCATTGTGCCCTACAGAAAGACAATGAGAAACTGGGCTGTTAGCCAGCAATGAAAGTTAATGTTAGACTGTTTGGTGGTTTATAAAGATGTTATTTCTGTAGTCAAAGAGCAGCACAGCTAAAGAGCACCTTGAGGCCTGACAGGTTTACTGAACTTCATTGACCTTCTAAGGTATTACAATGCTCTGCCAAAGCAAATCTGTAATGCTAAATTCAGTACCATGGTGGGGAATGGCTGGGGCCATTTGAATGAACATCCATATGAAATATGCATACATATGGGCTAAACTGTTTCCAGGAATTGCTAAACTATTTTCTATAGCAGGTTCACTGTTTTATACTCCATTTAGTTATTTTCCCTAATATATTATACCCAGCCATCCTACTGGGTAGGAAGTGATATCTCATTGTGGTTTCCATTTGCATTTCCCTGATGGCTAATGATGTGGGGTGCTGGGGCCATTTCTATGGCTTATTTGGAGAAATATCCATGTGAGTCTGTCTCAGTTACTTTTCTCTCATTGCTAGGACAAAATACCTGATGCCCAAAATTAAAGAAGAAAAGGTTTATTTAGCTCACTGTTTGTGGAGGTTTCAGTCCATACTTGGCTAGCTCCAAGGCAAGGTGGCTCATGGCAGAGGGAAACAGTTCATGGTGGTGGAAAACAGCAAAAGCAACAAGAGCAAAGGGAGGAGCAGTGGTGGCAAGCAGCCTCTTTCTCTCCCTTACATATGCAAACTATCTGCCCCAGGGCGGGTGTAGCACTCACACCTATAATCCCAGCATTAGATCATGTATCAATCATAAACTCTAGAAGCCTGCCCCATGACTGCATGAGGCTTTGGGGGGACATCCAGACACAAACCATAACAGAGTCTTTTGCCAATTTTTAAGCTTTTTTTTAGCCTATAAATGTTTTTTATACACTACGGGTACTAGATCTTATGAGATATGATTTATATATTTTCCCCATTCTGTAGTTTGTCTCCACTTTCTTTATGATTTCCTTTGATACACAATGGTTTTTAATTTTGATGAAATTCAATTTATGACTCCTTTTGTCGCTTGTGCTTTTTATAAATGAGAATCCACCGTCGAGTCGCAGGAGATTCAGGCAGGTAAATTCAGTGGCTTTCCTCCAGTCACACAGCTGGTAAGAGAAACCCCTTCCCTTACTTAAATGCTTACTTAGCATCACGCTCAATACATTCAGGAAGCCATGTCTTTGGGTGTGTTATGCTTTCCTAATTCATGCTGAAAGTACATGAGGTGTGGGTGAAAAATACAGTTGAATGTCTACGTTTAAGATTTTATCACACGAGGGACACATTACCATTAATTCCCCTCAAAATACTACCCCTTGCCTCAAACACACTTATCCCATGTGCTTGCGAGTTTCTGAAGCCATTCTGGAAGTCCTGTTTTGTGACAAACTGTTAACACCACGGTGTTTTTGGGACAGGAATTGCTGCAAACAGTGGTCAATGAGGTGTGATCACAAAATATCATGAATTTTAAATGAAAAAATGAATTACATAAAGACATAGCCATTAAACCCCCTTCAAACACTCCCCTTGACTTTGAACACACTCTTCATTGGCCACGTGGCTTTTACTATATTAGGTATTTTAAAACTTGAATATTCACCGTATCTTTCAACCACCCCTTGTGTATCCTGTACATACACTGTATATAAATTATGGGTCATAAGTGCTCTGGAGGAAAATGTAGGAAAAAAACAGAGAGTCTGGTGTGAGAGTCAGGGTTGAGCATGGTTCACAGGTTCACTGCAGGGGTCACAGCTGGGCCAATGAGAGGCTGAGGAAGCCAGCACTTGAGAGGAACGAGTCGTCTGACCCTTTCCTAGGCACGCAGCTAACAGAAGCTTAAGTAACATACTCTTTTTAAAAAAACTGGACTTTGAAAGCATCACATAGTACAGGTATTCTGAAGAAGCTCCCCTCTCCCCAAACTGGTCCTCTCTTCCATGAGTGGATTATGTTGCCACTCGAGCCACGGGCTCAGTGAGTGAAAATATGAAGAATGAGTTAAGGAGAGACGTTTGTGACATGACCTAGAACTCCGGGTTCTGGAATACTGAGAGGTGGAAATGCACAGCTCATGTGGAAGGTCTATCTGAATCTCAGACTAGAGAGTACTCTGAAGTCAGTTCCAGGGATGCTTAAGAAGAAGCCAGGATAATTCAGAAGAAGGCTGATGTAATGGGAGGCAGCGAAGCGGTCTGAAGCCCCGCGGGCCATCTGGAGTAGCAGCCTGGAGAGCCAGACTCAGGGACCTTGGCAAACAGGAGGCGGCTTGCCTGTTCCCTATCGTGCAGGTGTGGCCCAAGTTCTTAGGGCGAAAATCAAGATCCGGGGTTAGGACAAAAATGTTTCAAATGTGCTACCCTCCACAATTATTTTGCTAAACATTCTGCTGAAGTCTTCTTTGGTGGGGAGAAAGGACAATGTTTGGATAAATATGTAAGATCTAGGGAAACTGAAGCAAATATGGAAACTAAGCCTGGCATTTGGAGCCTGCCTGCAGGGGTTCAGACCCCGGTTCCAGCACTAGGTGGGCAGGTGGCCCTGGGTGTCTCTTTAGCGGTGCCATGGTTCCCTGATTTTTAAAACCAGACAATCTATGTATTCCTTCTCAGGCTGTTCTGATGAAGAGTAAGTAAGCTAATATGTATTTTTTAAATGCTTAGAATACTTCCTGGCACATATAAAACACTGAGTAAGTGCTTTTTAAAGTAAACTAGAGTACAATTCTCATCTGAACTTCCTTTGTACGATTACTTCCAAAGACTCACCTCATCATCTGCACCAAAAGAAAAAAGATTTACTGACAGCTCATAAGAGACTCCACAGACATGGTTGAGAGGGAACTCTTTTATATATTATGAGTCTAGAAGCTCTGTCAATTTTATATCAAACTGTTAGCTGAATTTCAAAGTGAGTGGTATAAAAGATAGATGACCACAAGGATTACCAAATGAATATTTTATTAGAGTCATAACACTTATAAAATAAATTTCTTTTCATCATGAAGGTATCAGATTCTAAGACCAACCAATACTTTTTCATTTTTACAATGAAGATATGTAAATAAATTCTCAAATGCCATAATTTTTGTTCAAGTGCTTTGTCACCTAACTCACAAATCTAGAATGCAATTAATCTATAAATCTAAGTATTCACAGTTAGGAGAGTTTTAGGTTTGGTTCTTAATCTAAAAGTAGCCCATTTATAAAAGTGCCACCAATACATTTTAATGAAATCATTTAATGCCACCAAGCATGGCCTATAACACCTTGGAAAAAAAATAAAATCTCACAACTAAATTCTAGCAGACTTCCTTTAATTGATTCCAAGTAGAATGCACAGTATGTCTTTATGGCACATTTATGACTTTGTAGTGTATAATTAATAATACAGGCTTAGGTACATGGTATAGAACTAGAAAAATCAAAGAAGTAAGCTTTGTAAAAAAGATATGACATGATTATAAAGTTGTAAGACTGGTTCCCTCATACCACATATGAAAACGCGTCTCCTGTCTTTACAGTCCTATCACAAACGAAGGCCCGCCAAGATCTTTCTAGGGGAGCCTGAGGCAAACACTATGTGCTCAGTGAGCACTGACCATGCTACTCATTTATGAATGTTCTATGTCCCATGAATTCCAACAGCGCAGGTTGTAATGGCACTCTGAGGAGAGGATGAGCCTGACAGCTGAGGGTTGAAAGAACGTGCTCCAGTGTTCTCCTTCCCAGGCAGCCCCTTTGTGGTGACAGGCAAGCACCTTGTGGGTAGACAGCTAGGGTTACACCTGGGGCCTGACCCTACATGGTCTCCCTTTGGAGGCTTCCAGTGTCCTCTCCTATGACCACAGTCTCTACAGATGAGCCCAAATCATTCCCTATAATCCAGAGACTGTTTTTATGCTATTGTTTAAAAACTGACTGTGTTAATCCCCAACACAGAAAAACAAGAGAGATGTCTGGGCATTTATCAGAACGTGTATGAAGCTACAGCTTTATGTTATATTTAATAGTCTATTCAAATGTAACTCAGAAAATAATGTAAAATAATTAGAGCTAAAAAGTTAACTCTTCAAAGAGCTCTATTTGGACAAGCATCACATACATAAATATTTATGTATTCATGCAGAGGGCAAACAACTGCATTCTAAGCATAAATCAGAGTGAGATATAAGAAGCTACACAGAAGTCCCAGTGGTGATTAATGGTCTCTGGAGATCCCACTTCAAGAACTCTCTGAGGAGAGTGCTGCTCAGCTGTTAGGAGATCATTAGTTTGATTAAGCAATGAGGGTTCCCTTCATAAATTACTTTTTCCTATACCAAAGGCTGCTGGAGTTAGCTTGAGAAATTATATGCCCTTCCAAGGGTATTTGACCATTAGTAAAAAGCATGTGATTATTGCATGAGACTAAATATGTGGCTTGTCTAATTAGGCTTATAAACTTTCACAATCATTCAATAAAATATAGAACACATAACTAAGGTTTTATACCAGCGGTTAACAAACCCTAAACTGTGGGCCAAATCTAGCCTGCCTCGTTTTTGTAAAGAACACAGACCTATTCGTTCATTTATATGTCATCTATAGCTGCTTTCGTGTTACAGCCGCAGCACTGCAGAGCTGGGACAGAGAGGGTTGGTCCTCAAAGCCTAAATATGTGCTATCTGGCACTCCATAGTAGAAATGGTGCCCCAATTCCTATTTTACATTACGGGATGGAATTCAGGGAAGCCTGTTTGAAATGTGCAGTTTTCAGGGAGTTCTAGTTACCTATTAAGGTTCAGGTACCTTTGTAACCACATGAAGGAATAGTACTTTTTCATGAAGAGTATGTGTATTTTATGGACACAAGGAAAAATTTCTCGAAAAAAAGGAAGAAAGAGAGAAAGAAGGAAAGAAAGAAAGAACGATGAAAGGATATTTCTGTATTTAACATCATAATAAAATTAAAATTCCACTCATCAACAAAAGCCTCCACTTTGATTTTTCAATCCACACTAAACAAGTTACTTCTGGAATGTTGTTACATCTGGACAAAATGCCATCCAAAGTGATCAGACATGTAAAGGACATAAGTGAAACTAACACAGCATTGTCAGTTCCCAGGAGTGTTACGGTCGCCATCTCCGTAAGGCCAGACCCAAACTGCAACCATAACAAGCTGTCGTCATAAAGGCAAAAACCTAGGAAAAAAGAAACAAAAGCTGACATCAGATTCATAACACTGACGTTAAGAGAATGCTTTCCTAAGCGACAACTGTATGGAGACTGACCAACCTAGCTGAAGATGCTCTAACACTTACAGAAATGTGTCATATTGATCTCTTTCTGGATGGCTTATACTTAGTTTTATCCCCTTCTACCATTATTTCTTCCTCTAAAAATTCTAGACCCTAAATGTGTTCTCATCGGTGAGCAGCCTCACGTCGAACATCTGCTTACATTCTGTGTTCACTTATTAAGAATTTACGAAACCTCAGGCACTGTATTAAAAATCTTGGTATAAGTTATTGACTCATAGTAGTTTTAAAGCCAGCAAAGACAGTAAGTAGCAAAGCCTGAGGATGTATCAAATCATTTCTACGACTTTAGAACTCAGTGACAAAATACAGAGAAATCATCAGTGGTTGTTTCTTGTATGGGAAGCAGTCCTCATGTGCTAATCTGTACTGTTTTAAATGACTATCCTTAGGTTCAGTGAGGGCTTCTTTTTTTTATTTTTTATTTTTTGGTCTTTTTGAGACAGGGTCTCACTTTGCAGTTCAGGCTGGCCTTGAGCTCACTCTGTAGACCAGGCTGGTCTCGAACTCACAGGCTCAGTGAGGGTTTCTTTAGCACCTATTATATGTCTATCACTGCATTTGGTGCCTAGAAGTAAATGGCAGGTACTGTCTTCACAATTTGGGATTTGATTCCCATTTTCCTGTGTCTCTGTGTGTCTGTGTCTCTGTCTCTCTCTTTCTGTGCTGGGGCTCAAACCCTGAGCCTATGCCTGCTAGGCAAGTGCTCTGTGATGCAGGGATTCCTAATCAGGGGACTACAGCTCTGGCAAGAAATATCAAATTCACTTATAGAACATTTTCACCATTTAATTACCAGTCTGTTCTCCCTACCTTCCTGCCAGTTCTCTGATACATTTCTAATCTTTTCTGATATATTTCTAATTTAGAGCTTGTCCTCTGAATGAGATTGCTTTTGATATCTATTATTAAAGTTAAATGGAATCTTCCTCTTTCTCAAAAGAAAAGGAGAAGAGATCGATATAATGCCATCAACGAGTGGCTGATACATTTTAGAGCTCTGAAAACTCAGCAACCAGAGCCCTCTCTAGGTGAGTTTATGGGGGACTGGCACCTAATGCAGAGTGTGAAGCATGACGTTTCCTGCAGCAGCTTTATAGGCAGAGAGAGGAGGGGAAGGACAGCAGGGACAAAGTCACAGGAGAGCACAGTCAGGACAGAACTGCACCAGGGCTCTCTGACAGCCTCTCTCAGGGAAACATCCCCTCTCAGGGAAAGGGGACACTGGTGGGAAATTAAAGACCTCAGCCTATCTTCATGCACTTGGGCACCTGCCATCCCAGGGAAGTAGGAACTTCAGGTGATGATCAGCAGGCCCACTTGAGGCTACTTCAGAGATCTAAGAGAGGGAATGGAAATACAGCCAACACCTGGAAAAAGAGGGGCTGACAGTAAGAAAGGAAAGTCCAGTGGGAATTGAGGACTAATAGAAAAAACATGAGCTCCAAGTCCCTGCGCTTTACTTTGCAAAACTGTTAAATCCAGTAATTGTGATCTGTGGATCATAAGGACTGACTCTAAGCATTTAATTCCACTCTCAGGGATGCTGAGGTGCTTAGAGGTGGATTTATGAAAACAGGACAGGTGACATCAAAGCTCCCCTGCTTGACCTTCAACTGGAATGTATGCTTCTGTTGGGTTTTTTTGTTTGTTTGTTTGTTTTTCTGGTACTGGGAATCAAACTCACAACCTTGCGCTTGCCAGGCAGGTGCTGTGCCGCTGAGCTAAATCCCCAGCCCCTCATGTATTGGTTTTTAAGTAAGATTTCATTAAGAAATATGGTTTTGTTTTTATAAAAGACACTAAAACATCAGCGCTTTATTCATGCTAGCTAACTCCAGTTGCTTGGCAAGGTTGCCAGTGGCCACCACGCTGCCAGCACATACCCTGAGTGCCACCATTACTGTAGGATGTCCTAATGACACAGGCAGCACAGGACTATTTATGGGCTACCTGGGCAACACAGTAAGACATGAGGGTCAGTCCTTCGCTAGATAGCCTATTCAATATCAAGGCATTACAGAGAGTAATTTTGACTTGTAACAGTTCCATAAAAACAAAAATACCAGTTCTTCAGGCTACCAAATCAATACAAAATGACTGATTCATTCTAGTACATGAATTAAAGAGGATAAACATCTGTGAAGGTTTGTCACAGAATGCAAACGCAGGTGCCTGCACACCTCTGAGGCAGCAGCTGCAGACTAGCCCACCTACTCACAGGCACCTTCCCCAGGGGCAGAACTCGGCTTATTCACTCTGTTATTGCATAGATCCCAAACATCCTCCAAAAGTCTCCTGTGTGGGAGAGGATGGGGCCCGGGGGTGCTGTCACTGACTTGCTGTCAGGAGGTGTGGCATGGTTGCAGGGGGTCACTGGAGGCGTGGCCTGGAAGCGGTTGTTCTTGCCCCTGGGTCCCCCTCCATTGCTTTCTTCCACCAGGCCCTTCTCTGCCTCAGAGCCTGCTGATGGACTGAATCCTTTAAAAACCATATGCAAAATAAACCTCCCCTCCTTTAAATTGTGCCTATTGGGTATTTTGTCCTACCAACTAGAAAGTGACTAAGCCCCATCCCAGCCCCACCTGCTGGCAAACTACCAAAGACAGGCTCAGGGTAAATATCCATTCAGTTGAAAGGAATCAAAAATAGGTATAGGATAGTAAAGAGCAAATCTGGGAACAAATCTTTCTTACTCTGTGTTAGGGTTTATGTTCAGATGTCCCCCCAAAGCCTCATGCAGTCATAGAGCAGGCTTCTAGAGTTTATGATTGATCCATGGTCCAATGCTGGGATTATGAGTGTGAGTGCTACACCCGCCCTGGGGCGGATAGTTTGCATACAGTGTAAGGGAGGGAAAGAGCCTGCCTGCCTCTGCTGCTCCTCCCTTCTGCTCTTGTTGCTTTGGCTATTTTCTGCCTCCACGAACTGTTGCCCTCTGCCATGTGCCACTCTGCCACTTGGAGCCAGCCAAGTATGGACTGAAACCTCCACAAACTGCAAGCTAAATAAACCTTTCCTTCCTTAATTCTGGGTGTCAGGTATTTTGTCTCAGCAATGAGAGAAAAGTACCCAAGACACTCTGAACATTCAAAGAAGCGAATGGTACAAATGATCTTTTCTCCAAAGTAGACTCTGTTGTGCAGGGTCAAGCAGTGCTACTGGCTCGCTGTCATAGTACACGGTTTCAGATTAGTCACCCCCAACACTAGGGTGGTGACAGCTCCTTGCACCTTGGGCTCTGCACAGGTCAATAGCTATGATATGTTTAGTGCTAAAGGTTATCATCGAGGAGACCGCTGACCCTGAGCGTGGAGAAGGAAGTCTGGGGTGGCCTCACCGGTACTTACAGTGGCTGCTACGTTTATGCGGTACTGGCTGTCACTCAGGAGCGGCTGCAAGGACAGGGTGGAGTTGCACTGCAGATCATGCAGGGAGGTGGCTGCAGCTTCCAGGAGAAAGGCTCCAAAGTAGAAGACAAACACCACAAAATGGTAGGCAAAATCCTGGCAGAGGAGTGACAAGACATTTCCAGTTACATGAAAAGGGTTTTTTTTTTTTTTTTTAATTCTGTTCCTTATTTTAAAAGACATATTTTAAGTTCAGGATGATTAGAAATGCAATTAACCAATGTTAAACCTATTCACTGTCTATTTTGGCTGTTTTAGCAATGTCAGGCTGTTAGGATCCAACTGAAAATTGATGGACCCATTTTATTTGGTAAAAGGAAAACTTCTGATGTATTGAATTTTATACTAAAATATATGAGTTCAGTGTTTGAATGAAGAGGCATAGAGATCAGTATTAGTTAATGGATCAAAAAGGAATAACATGCTGTTTTTAAAATTCAAATAAAATAGCATTTAAATTACACCTTGTTACAGCTGTTACACCAGCTATATGTGTTTTCTAAATATTTTATTTTTGAGCAATTATCATTAGATCACCTTATATGATAATGATAAAATAGCCTTATTAAATCATAGAGTTCAAAGACATGTAACCCTAGATTCCACTAAAAATATGTTATGGTTTGTGTCTGGATGTCCCTGCAAAGCCTCATGCGGTCATGGGGCGGGCTTTTAGAGTTTATGATTGCTTCGTGGTCCAATGTTGGAATTACGGATGTGAGTGCTACACTCACCCTGGGGCGGGTAGTTTGCACAAATGTAAGGGGGGGGGAAAGAGGCAGCTTGCCTCTGCCCCTCCCTTCTTGCTCTTTTGCTTTTGCTCTTTTCTGCTGCCATGAATTGTTGTCCTCTGCCATGTGTCACTCTGCCTTGGAGCCAGCCATGTATGGACTGAAACCTCCACAAACTGTGAGCTAAATGAATCTTTCTTTCCTTCATTTTAGGTGTCAGGTATTTTGTCACAGCAAGGAGAGAAAAGTAACTGAGACAGAATGACACATATTTCTACAAAAAGTACAGAAACAGTGACTTGTTAGATTATTTTGAACACTGCTGGAATTAACATGAAACGTAAGTATTAAAATTCCCTCTGCCTTACAAGGACTAATATACTAACCACACACTACTGTTTTCAATGGCTACCACAGACCATGTAATTCAGGTACGTTTCTGTTTCCTTACAACCATGATTTATTACCTCCATTTTAGAGTTTCCTTTCTTTTCAGCTATGTCCCAAAACCACATAAGGATTAACTTTTGGAAGGTCAACTCAATCACAAGTCCATCCAGTTCCAGAGTCTACATACTTTTCTAAAAAATTAATTGACAAATAGAAATTGCATATGTTGTATATTTTGAAACATGCACACAGTGTGGAGAAAGTGAAGTACTTAACATATGTAGTGCCTCACATACTTACCGTGTGTGGGGGGGGGAGGGAGAGAGAGGGAGAGAGAGGGACTTTTAGTAATTTTCATAGATACATTGATAATAGTTGCAGCTTCCAGGCTGTATAATAGATCTCTGGAACTTGTAATTCCTGTGTAAATAAAATCTTGTATTTGACAATCATGCTCCTAAACACTCTTCCTCCTCCACATCCCCTGGTAACTACCTTACTTCTATCAGTTCAACTTTTTAGGGTCCACCAATTAGTGAGACCATGTGGTATTGTCCCTGGGTGTCTGGGTTCTTTCACCTCACATAGCCTCCCTACTCATCCATGATTTTGCAAATAAAAGGATTTCTTTCATTTCCTTTCATTTTTTGGTGCCAGGAATTGAACTCAGGACCTTGCACTTGCCAAGCAGGTGCTTGTGCCATTGAGCTGTATCTCCAGCCCTCTTTCATTTTAAAGGCTGTGTAACATCCCATTGTGTATATGATATTTTTGTTGGTTTCACATTTTATTTCTCAATTCATCCATGGATGGAAACAGGTTGATTCCATGTCTTGGCTGTGGTAAATTCTGCTGCAGTGAACGTGAGGGTGCAGACAGATCTCCGACCTATGCATTTCACTCCCCGCAGATGAGTGCTCAGCTGTGAGAGGGCTGGATCACAGGGTGATCTTATGCTTAAGTCTATGCTTAAGTGTTTGAGAAACCTACTTACTGTTTTCCATAATAACTCTATTAGTTTACACTTCCAATAATGCTGTTTGAGGATTCCCTTCAAAGTCCACTTTCTGTTTTCTCTGTCAAACTGTCTCCATCCAAATGATACAAGAGAGTGCTGCACTGTCTTTGTAAACACCCATGCAGCCAGCAGTGCCATCCACAGGACTGTTCTTATGCCAAGAGAAACCACTAGGCCAGATTTAACTAGCCAGGGGTTAGTGACAAAGGTATAACGTGAAAAATGCTTTCCCCTTAAACACCTCTCATTTGTAAACTGACCCACCATGGCTTCAGAACAGTCAGAGAAAGCACTGAATGCCCACACATCTAGACTATGAGAGATGTCCAAATACATGTGGTTATCCAACAACTGCTAGTCAATCAAGGTCAATATCCAAATTTAACACATTCGTGGTAGGCGTGTAATTTGTGTGTCCTGCTGCCAGGCAACTCTGAACCACAAGGGGTACAAGCAGCCTGAGGGGAGAGGACAGTCATACACGTACCGTTGGTGGTTCAGTGTCACTGCTTTTAGCGGTGAAAGGTAATAGAGCAGCGCACTGATTAGTAAAAACTGAGAAAGTATGTTTGAGATCACTAGGCACTCATTTAACTCAGGATCCTCACTTTTGGGCCCTCAGAGGCAGTGTGCCTTATCATAGAGGACAAAGATAAAGTTTGGTGACAGGGCTGCAACTCTTGGGATGAGTGGTTCTTGGCCTATTTCATGATCTCACACCTTTCTGGACATCAGCCACTCTGGCCACAGTTTGGTGCTTTGGAAGCACCTGTACCCCAGGCACCAGTGGACTTGGGGTGTGCTGCAGGCTTTAGCCAAAGCCACATCTTCCCAAGTAGCCCCCATGTAACTGCAGAACAGGGAAGGTACTTGTGCCTGGCACTTGTACCCAGCACATGGTCTTAAAGGACAGATTACTCTCTGGAGCTTCTCACTGATTTTTGCAAGCCCCCATCACAATCAGAGACTTTCTGCCCTTTCTTTCCTTCCCTCCCCTCCCCCTACTTCCTTCCTTCCTTCCTTCCTTCCTTCCTTCCTTCCTTCCTTCCTTCCTTCCTTCCTTCCTTCCTTCCTTCCTTTCCACATTGTCCTTTACAGGTTTTATCTTCTCCCTCTCCCTAAAAAAGCCACAAATCAAAAGGCCTGTTAAATTTCTACATCCATTTTAGAGGCTGCTTCCAGGTGGGCCCGAGAAGATGCACACTGAGAAAACACGCACGCTTTTCTGCTGTGCTGCTCCTACTCGATCATCATGTACTGTTCACAAACGCATTAATTTTGCAGTGATTCCTTTACTGCTGCAGGCTATCACAACACACTTCCTGGGAGCCACTCCCGGGGCTAGGCCAGGTATTCCGCAGGATCCTTGATCCCTACCTCACACCGAACTTGGCCATCCATCCCGGAGGTCGGATTCCAATTCCTGTGCAAGATGCAGAGGTTCCCTTACTGCCTGGTCAGTCTTGGTCTCTGAGTTAAGCTGGAGGTTCTTCACATCCGTGTATCAGCCCCACAGGGAAAGCTTGATCCGACACAGAGGGGCCCCGTACCGGGTGCCCAGCCGGAGGCCTGGGTGGAGCCTGAGGACCTGTGTTTCTGATGCATTTCCAGGTGCTGCTGATGCTCTGGTCAGCAACTACTGTCCTTGGCATTAGGAGATGACCTCAGCTCCTCTGAGCCCACCTCCCACATTCTTGGCCCAAGCCCTGCCTTCCTGCTCTGCTCTGGTCAAGCCTTCATGACCAGTTAATGACAACAGTTTCATCATGCAGAGGTGGACCCTGGTAACTTACTAGCAGCATGAAAAGGGACGGTGACCACTCTGAGCTTTCAGGAAAACAAGAATACTATCAGAATACTAAGAATTGGCTTAAAGGCCAAGTAAGGACATAGATGTGGGGGCAGAAAATATAGCTCAGCGATGTCCATAAGAGGAAAATAATCAACTATATGCCAGGTAGACTTCTGAGGGATAAAGGGAGACATGTTTAACTGTACAGGATTTTAAAAATAGGTATGAGATGTGTACATATCCAGGTCTCAAGATGAAGGTAATCATTATGTGTCACAGACATGATCTAATTAAATAGTTCTTATTTTTCTAAAATAAATCTTTCTTTTGCATATCTTCTCTGGAAAATGGGTAATATAAATATGGAATCTCTTCTTTCAAAGTAGGCCACAATGATATTATTTCCTCTACATACACATAAACACACACACATGATATTTCAAGACTAAAATCTCCTTTTCTCCAGATTACAATGGGACAAGGTTTTAGCATTAGTATACATTACCACATACTGTGTTTTTCTTTCACTAGCTACACTAAAGCTAGATAGCTTGGGGAGAAATACTGAATGCAAACATTACTATGAATGTAAATTTAACTGCATGATCAACAAAAAAATAAGAAATACTATCATCAGTACCCTACACCAAATTCTTTTTTTTTTTTTTTTCCTACACCAAATTCTTGTAGAAAGTAAATTATTTATAGGGGCTGGGGATTTAGCTCAGCGGCAAAAGCGCCTGCCTGGCAAGCGCAAGGTCGTGAGTTCGGTTCCCGGTACCGGAGGAAAAAAAAAAAATTATTTATAGAAGTACATTCTTCCTTCCTCAAGCATGACGTACAGGTAGCATTAAATTATTATCAAGGGGGAAAGCAATTAATTTCAAGCAATTACTGTTTACCAGTTCCAGAATGCAGGAGTTAAAAACTGCTACCATCTGGAGATGACTCCATGATCAGCATGGCTCAAAACCTTCCTGGCTGGGAATATATGAGAAATAGTATACAACCTATCAAAAGTTCATCCTGAGAGCAAACATGAATGAGGATGACGAAAATCACATAATACAAGTGGGGAGAAAGGGAGCCCACTCTACATAGGAACAGCATTTGATAAACTCCAGGAGGGTAGGAATTGACTCCTTGAAAGCCTGCCCATGAATCATGAGCTCTGTGCTGTCACACCCCTGTACTATGTGGTATGTATTGTTGTTCTACTACAGGTAGAACAGCTTTGATTTGAAAATCTGACATCTGAAATGATTTCAGGACCAAACCTTCTTGATAGTAAAGTCTATGCAAATATCCCGAAAATCTCAAATATCTCTTGCCACAAGTGTGTCCTGTGCTATTTTTTCCCCCCTAAGTGAGGACTATGCTAGCTTTTAAAAGCAAATAACAAAATAACACCAAGTGAAATGAAAAAACACAGGATAAGACACAGGTAGGGCTTTCCAGTTTTAGCTGTTACATAGTGGTGTGATTAAAACAGCAAAACTCTCACTTTTTGTTTTCGGCACATCAGCTATAATGCTATGAATGGCCGGGAAATGTAAATGTAGGGAAACTAATAAGTGAGTAAGGATATTAATGATTGTAATCAATATCAAAGATAAGACAATGCAAGCAAAAGGGGAAACTGTTGATAAAGGAATATGTCTTATAAGACCAGGAATGATATCTGAAAAATATTTACATATTTCTGAGGCAGGTGAATACCGGGCACTGCTGGGTCCAATTAGACCCAGCAAACCAATTAGTATTAGAAAGAATACTGGGCACTGCTGGGTCCTGGAGACTGTGTGTGTCCAGGTCTTCACCCTCCAGTTGTTGGGCCATCGGGAGACCCAGGGAAGGCCCAAGGGAAGGCCAGGATGGGGTGTGGCACAACACGGGGGGAGAGGCTGCAAGTCGGGGCAGTAACTATTGGGACTACTGAGGTACACACAGGGCTGCGGTGGCCCAATATCATCTTTGGGCCTGATATTAGGAGAAGCTGGTTTTGCTTATCAACATTAGGGTTCAACTGATTCATTCTCAACCTTAGCATGGAAAAGTCAGGCTTTTAGAAAAAGGAGATTAAGCATTTATAATCCAATTACAGACCTCTGATCTTTGTCACATGACCAAGTAATTTTCTCATCATTCATGAGAAATTATGCCAAAAAATGCAGCAACCAATGCATTTGCAACCCAATAGAAGCAAAAGAGCTTTCACAGTTCCAAAGTGTAAGCCTCAGTGTATTTAAGCATTTAGGATGACTATGGTTTCCATACTGTAAGCTCAGGTAATTCATCATTCCCATTATTCTTTAATGGCATTTGGTAAGACAGGCCTTATGATTACCATTTTATAGAAGAAAAAATTAAAATTCTGAGAGGTTAAGTATTCTGCCCAAGGCTATACAGCTATTAAGCCAATCAGACCTAAACCCCAGGCCTGTGAAAGGCTGCACCAGGCTTATTTCTTCTTAGATCTATGCTAAGCGGCGCCATTTGACCTGCACTGGCTTAAAGGGCAATCATGTTGGCTAGATTTCACCGTGGAAAACGTTCAGGATTAAAGTTCTCCTTATGCTCTCTAAAACAAAAATAGACACTTTCCTCTGACTCCTATACTACAGATGCTGAATAGAATACTGTTATACTCAAAGGATCATATTAAAGCCTGACTGAAGGTCTGACCTAGGCTTCAAAATACAAGAGTGTGATCAGAACCCAACGGGGCTCTTCACAAACTTTGCCAAGGCACTGTCCACTGTGGTGTGGGAGTCCCGCCCCACCAGGCCTTTTGAAACAGTCCCCAGGATGAACAGTGCTAAGTGAGAGAGGGCCCCTGTACTACCTGGGACAACAGGAAGTAAGGTGACCCAATTTAATAATGTCATATTCTGAAAATTGTATTGACTGTAAATTTCTTTTTCAAAACTCATCACTTCTTACTAACTCAGGACAGGAAGTCATTGTAAAATATTCTTGTAAGTATTCAGAGAGCAGAATCTATAGCTAGTTGTCTTCTGTCAAGAATTATACAGTCTGCCCTCTGTTTCCCAGGATCTCCCATGTGTGGATTCAATCAATGGTACATCAAAAAAATGCAGAAAGGGGCTGGGGATTTAGCTCAGCGGCAAAGTGTCTGCCTGGCAAGCGCAAGGTCGTGAGTTCGGTTCCCGGTACCGGAGAAAAACAAAAAACAAAAAACAAAAAACAAACAAAAAAAAAATGCAGAAAAAAATCACAACTGTAATGAACTTGTACAGATTTTTTTTCTTTTTTTCCTACCTATGCAGCATAAAACTATACAGTATGAAAGCTATTTGCATTGCATGTATATCAGTTAGGTACTCTAAGTAGCCCTCAGATGACTGAAAGCATCTAATAGGATGTGTGTCTGTCATAGGCAAATACTATATTATTTTATATCAGGGACCTGAGAACCGACAGACTTTGGTTTGCCAGGGTGAGGCATCCCAGAAACAATGACCTTCAGAAGCCAAGAGCTGATTGTATGTACTTAAACATCCACAGCAGAAATCAATGGAAAATTTCAAGGCCCATGTGACAACGTTCAGCTCCCAAAAGCTGTCCCATTGTTCAGTAATTATAATGTCACGCATTTGTCACATGAAATGGAACAGTTTTTGCATAAAAGTCATTGAGTCATAAGGGAGTCACACAATGATTTCTCAGCTCCATCAGTGCAGGAATTTCACAAATGGGCCCAGTTGTGCAGCGAGGTGAGCATACAGCACCGCCCCGCTGGGGTCAGACCCGTCCTCACCCATGGGAAGCAACACCCAGAACAGGGACTCAGGCATCTCTGAGCAGAAGGAGATACTGATAGGTTTCTCACATTTTCTTGCAAAAGACAAAACAAAATCTCTTACCAGGAAGTTCCAGTTGGCATTAATTTGAGTCACCATGCCAGAGAGGAAGAGGCCCAGGAAGAGGAGAGAAAAGAAGAAGGCGGTCACGGACACAAACATGACCCATCCTTGTAGCAGAGGTAGAGGGACGTTGGAGGAGGCGACCAGAATCCAGACGAGCCCCCCTAGCAGCTGAAACAAAAGAGGAGAAGTTTGCTTCAAAGATGCTTTTGTTCAGTGAAATTAAACAACACTTCCATCAATGTCGTGAGACCCTGGGTTTTCACTCCAAACCCTGTACACATTCCTGCCACCCCACTCACTGTCATTTCTCTTCCATCATGGAAGACGCTGCCTTCCCACAGGTGGGGACCAGCCCCACACGGAGGCAGATCTGAGCCCATTCCTGCGTCTCCACATTGAACGCTCCCCTCCATCCATGAACATGCACAACCGCTCTCATCATCTAAACTGTCTTCCCCTGACCCCACCGCCTGCCTACTTGCCTGCCACTCGGCTAATGTGTTTTCTGGGCCAGTCGTCAATTTTGCTGGCTGCTTGCCCTCCACTTCCTCTCCTAGTTACTCTTTAAACCATAGTCACTGGTCACAACTAGAGACCATACTCATAAGTGAAATAAATCAGACCTGCATGTGTAAACAACATATTGTCTCACTGGTGTAAGAACCTGAAAGAGCGAATAAAAATTAGGAGGTACAATAGACATTGTGAAACGAAAGGAAACTGCTCAAACGTTAAGAGCAACTGGGATGAGGGAAAAGAGAAAAGAAGGGGAAATTATGTACATATGTATATATAGGATAGCTAACATAGTTGTACTGCTGACTTCTATCGCTTTATTGAAAGGAACAGTTCATGTTTAATTGTTTGATCAATCTTACATGTCTGTGTTTGTTTTCCTGAGTAACCACTTGGAAGACATCAATATGTAATACAACAACCATTGTTAATTTCCTATCATCTTGTCTAAAATTTAGTATTGCTTGTATGGTTATTGCGTGTTATTTTGTAAATGTATGTGTGTTTGTTAATATGTTTTCATTCTTTTGTTTTTAAAATAAAAAAAAAATACCATAGCCAACGGGATTTTGCACGTCCCACTTCTTCATGTTTTTTAGCTGCACCTTTCTGATTTGTCACATCCAGTGGCCACTTTTCTGTCTGTATCCTGGCCCATTTGTGTATGTGACATTATTACTACTTACACAATAAGAGTTGCAGCTGTTGTACGTGATAGAAAGCAATGAGAGTGACCATTACTTATTATCTGCCCCTGCTGGACACCGGAATACGCACCTCAGATGGCTCTGAGAGTCCACAAATACCAACTACAAGTCGGGCGCTGTGCTGGGTATTGAGAATTGCCCTGGGTCTCGGTCATCACAGAACTCAGTCTACTGCATGCAAAGGACAATTCAGCAAGTGATTACAATGCTGCTTCATAAACATTACAGCTGGGCCAACACTGGGCGCCTCAGGTCCCCTCAGCAAGGGCTGTAGATCCAGACTTGGGAGGTCAGGGAAGTTTTTGCAGAAGCAGCAATCCCAAGGACAAGGCTGGGGAGAAGCTGCCAGTGTCCTGGGCGGGACATGGGCCTTGTGATCACGGGGTGGCTGGTGGGGGGCCCTGGCCCAGCATGGAGGAAGGCTCAGCAGGACAGCAGTGCTGTGTGGGAGCTGTGAGAGCCGTGCCCGGAGCCTGAGCTGAGCATCCTGGCAGCCAGGCCAAGGAGATGGACTGGCCTGAGGGCCCCAGGAAGCCACGCCCACCCTGAGCAGCAAGGAGCGCCTTCAAGAGATGCGCTGAGAGGTTTCTGTGGCCAGAGAGTGAGGGTGGGTGGGGAGGACGGGACTCAGGCCTGGGGAACACCAGCTGACCTTTGCAGCAGCAGAATGCAAAGCAGAATCCAGGACCCTAAGGATGGAGCAGCAGGATGACAGGCTGATTGGATGTGGGATGGGACAGGAAGAAACCGGTAAGGGAAACAGCAGATTTTTGACTCGGTCACGTGGGACTAAGTTAGGGGACACAGGATGGGGACACGGTGAGGACAGTGGCTTCCAGACATCTGACCATCACTCTTGTTGTACCCTAGGCCTTTGAGATCTGTCCTTCACCTTTGTCTCACACTGCTCCAGCCCTGTGCACTTTGTGTTACAGGCAAAATACTCCACTGCTGAAAGACAAAGCTCTTCCACGTCTGAGCGGCCCCACATGCTGGCGCTCAATGTTCTCTCTCTGTGTATTTAACAAACTCCCTCTCAGACCTCATCTTCAGCCCACGAGCTAAAATCTTTCCTGAGTTTCAGCTCATGCTCAGTCACCTCTCCCTCCCCGACTCAGGATCTGTCAGCACCTCAGGGAGGAGACGAGACACACTGTGGCCGAACTCCTGACTCTCCATCCACATCTCAGCCCTTCCGGGCATCACACTGCTTTCCATGTCTCTAGCATTTACTAATCTACACAATGATGAATCTGCATTATAACCCCTTTCTAACTATATCCACCAGGTACGAGGTAGATTTGGCAACTATACATCTGCCTTGAGGAATTTCAATCAATCAGTCAATCAATCAACCAACCAATCTCTCATGCATACACACAAAATGTTCTCAAATATTTACTTAGTGAACACATTAGCATTCATATGAGAACAATATAAGTTTCAAATGATAAAGACCAGAGACCAACAGTCATCTTTGTCTCATTTCTTAGGTATCCAAAACCAAAACTGTAGAAGCTACTGAAAGTTAAAAACGTAACTTTTCATTCAGGTTAAAAAATGTATTAGTGGAATAATGATAATTAAAGTACCAACCTAATAAATGTATAGTTGGGGTAGGATACTTCAAGTCCTACTTCCAAATAAATTAATAACCCGGAGTCTTTTATAAAGTGAATCTATGTAACGAATCTTAGTGCAGATTAAAAATTTTAGCTGCTACCCTACTATGGTTATAAAAGGAATAAATTTGCTCCAGATAAAATATTATCTTCTTTTTTTACCATTTAAAATATTTGAAGATGATATTGCTTTAACTACAGCTTAAAAAATGTAGGGGCTGGGGATTTAGCTCAGCGGCAAAAGCGCTTGCCTGGCAAGCGCAAGGTCGTGAGTTCGGTTCCTGGTACCAGAGAAAAACCAAAAAAAAAAAAAAAATAATAAAAAAAATAAAAAATGTACATCATTAGTAAGTATCTAATGATCAATTATCTAATAATCTAACAATTCAAAGATTATTTACTGGGAACCTACGAACAACCTGCATTACTTTAGAGACATTTCAATAATGCACATTATTTTTAAGTATCTGTTGATTCAAGAATTATTTACTGAGAACTATGTGCAAGTCTAAAAGTAACAAGGAACAACGGTCACTGTTTATTAGAGGCAGAACTAAGCAGAATTGCATAGGCATAAATCCCACCCCGAAATAATCCTTCAGAATTGTCGTAACTTTGAATAAACATGGAGTGGACCTCAAACCAGCCAGTCCCAAATGGACTGCAGGAACTTAGAACACTCAAGAAAAAAATACATAGAAATGCAAGGTTCCAGCTCAGGAGCTCCAAATAAGGGAGAAATAGACACCAGGAACTCAGATTGAGGAGCAGATTGTGGTGAGGGCTATAAAAAGCTCAGCACAGTGCGCTCTGTGAGGCTGGGAGAGAGGAGAGGGTCCAGGAAGGGAGGTGGGAGACAACCCACCGCTTGGGCAGGGGAGGCTGCGCAGACTCGCTGCCTGGTCGCACTCAGCGTTGGAGCCCTTCCCACACTTTGGAAACTCAGCGCATGCGTGCTAAGCGCTCCAGCTGCTTCCTCATGGGTGGTGTTTGTGTGCAGTGTGGAAAAAGCAGGGAGAAGAGATGCGTGGACTCCCTCATGTGAACACACGTACCAGCCTCGGGTCAGAGAGTCTATGACACCGAGGTGTCCATCCTGTGTGTAGGGGACACGGCTCTGCCCACTGAGGAGTCTCCACCTCATCCCAGAAGCCCAGGCAGCTGTGCGTTCACCGTGCATTTGGCTTTGTTTTTTTCTCAGGCTGGCTTCACACTCACGGCAATCCTCCCGAGTGCTGGGATTACGGGAGTGCACTACCACACCCAGCAGTCACCACCATCCTTTCTCCTTAGGCTTTCCTTTTCCCAGTGCTCGCTCTCCTTCCCACCTTCCCAAATGGGCTGCAGCATCACACATGGAGCTCTCCGCATGACGGGCTGCAGCAAACCCACAGGACTCAGCAGACATGAGTTTATCAGCAGCCCTGGAAGGAGTCCAGATGTTTGAGGTGAAAAGTGTCGCACCAAAATAGTTAAAATCGGACAGGGAACAGTTGACAAGGTATCCTAGCAACGGCAGAGCTGCGCATCCTGAGGAAAGGCACCTGGGTGCCAAGTCCTGCCCACGTCCTCCTCATCCTGGATCCGGGTGCATTCTGACCTCCCATCCACCACTGCCTCCTTTCTTCAGTGCCCCGAAGAGCCTGGTGATTATATGCGAAACAGCCCAAGGCACCACAAAGTGAAATTTTTTAAAGGCTTGAAAGAATCAACAACTGGGATCTCACCCTACTGAAAAGTTTCTGCACATTTAAAGGAACTAAATCAGAGCTCACAAATGTGAACCTCAAGCTCTACCAAGAAGACTTCTCAGAGGAAAGGAAAAGGTAGAAACCTCCTGGAAGCAGGCACAGTATCTGTCTTCCCCTGTGACTTGGTTTTCTCCCGTCTTCCAAGCCCAACTTCAGGTCACACACCAGTACTCACTAGCTCCTGGGTTGCAGTTATAACATTGTTACCTGTCCCTGAAACAACCCACCTCTTTGTGGTTTAGCAAGTAGCTGTCACCTCAGTTTGGCCACTGTAGATAAGAAGGGTAATGATTGCCGGAGTCTTTCCCATTAGAAAACCATGGGAACATTCATGCCCCATCACACTAATGTGAACCCTCAGAGCTCAAATGTGTTTTTGGTAGAAACTATGGACTGATAAAAGTACAAAGCCCCACGGGAGCAATGGTACTGGGGAGGAAGCAACTCTTGCAAATTTGGCTGCCGTGAAAAATACATTTCTCAACTTGTCTCCTACTTGGAAGGCCTGTTTTGGTTCCCAAGGGATTCCTTTTGCAAATATCCCCCTTTCTTGTCAAATGTCAGTTCTTTCC